TTTTTATTACCATCTTTGATATCGTGAACCTGAGGTTGGGTTTCATTATGACAAAATGAGATGGGGTGGCTACTTCCCTTTAACATGTTTTCTTTGCCAGTCAGTTCTCAGAACAGTTGGACAGTTAGCTGGTACCCGGTTTCGTTTGCTCTACTGTGTTTCACAGACTACAACAAGGCATTTGATTATGTGCAGCACCATAAACTATGGCATTTAATGAGAGGCATGATATTTCGAAATCATATGGTGAACTTAATGGAATCTCTTTACCACGAACAACAAGTAGCTGGTAAAACATCAGAATGGTTTGAAGTGCAGAAAGAAGTGAGACAGGGCTGCATTCTTTCACCCTCCCTCTTTAACATATATGCTGAAAATGTTATGAGAAACACAATTAGCCATGAGGCACGTGAGAGCTTTGATCCACTAAAAACGCAGATATGCAGACGACAGTTCTCCTTTCAAACAGTGTACAATGTTTAGAAAAGTTAATTCTGGCCGTCAAAAAACATAGCAAAGAAGTGAATCTGTTGCTGAATTTCAAAAAAAAAAAATTATGTCCTCAGTAAATACAGCACACGAACAACGTATCGCAATCGAAAATAAAGAAATAGAAAATGTAACAGATTTCGAATACTTGGGCTTTTTAGTGAACAACAGTGGTGACTGCTTGAAAGAAGTCACAAGAAGACTTGCATTAGTAATGCAGAGATTAAATAACATGAAGAACCGATGGCAAAGAACTAGTAAATTGGTTAAAGTAAAAATCTTGAAATCGTGCATTTTCATGTGGCAACTTACGGTTGTGAGTTTTGGACTCTCATTCAGTCACTGAGGAAAAAGATTGGAGCTTTTGAATTGAAATGCTATAGAAAAATTCTTAGAATACAATGGATCAGGAAGAGGAAAAACATCGATATTCTGAGCAAGTTGAACATCAAGGAGAACTGGCTCATAAACAGCATCCTGTTTCGAAAGTTAAAGTATTTTGCCCACATCAAGCGTCATGGTGGCTTGGAAAAGACAGTGATGGAAGGTGCAGTTTGTGGAAGGCGAGGCAAGGGTCGACCACCTCGAAGATGGATACAAGACATTGAAGATGCATTGGCATTGAAATCACATGGGGCTGGAGAGCTGGCTAGGGAAATGGATACTTTCAGGTGTGCCGTGAAGAAAGCAATGTTCTCTAAAGGACTTGCTGATTGATGATGATGACTGTGAGGAGCAAATAAGCCGGCTATTGCTTGAGATTGGTCACAGATAGCTGACCTAACAGGGAAGCTCACTTTGCTACCAAAACTCTTGTTTCTTTAGCTTTCACATGACTTAAATTGGGGGAAAAAAAAATTCTTTTATGCATTGACTTCTGGTCTTGTTTTGAGGTCACAGAAGCTGGTGAGGAATGAATACAAGTGCCAGCAGAGTGTTGTACGACCTTTTCTGTCTGCATCCGACTAGACATAAAATGCAGCAACAAAGTCCGGCCCTGTGGAGGTAGAAGTGCAGGCTTTTATTTTTGAGAATTCTTTTTAGATGGGGACGCTATCATTTACACAGATGGGTCTGTGGTTCGTCACATGAGAAGCTTTGTGCATTGACTTCTGTGGCCACTGACAAACTTAAGGCAAACTCATCCACAGCGGAGCATGGTAAAAGCAAAACAATGAGCAGCAATGAACCTCATGGGCTCGGAACGCTGAAGAAGAAGAAATAGAAGAGTTCACGGGGATCAGTGAAACAATGAACGGGCGTCGCTTAGTTTAGCATTGTTTGGCATATGATACAACATCTAGTTTGAGATTGGAGGTGATGGTATTTACTACAGACTTCCTTCGCTTTAAAAAAAAAGCTGCACACACACACACACACGTTGTCATTGTAACTGACTCACATAGCATACTGAGAAATGCGGAGACAGGTATGCTCCAACCAGAGTGGCAGGCATCGTTCCCGATTCGTTAGCGTCCTATCTGTGTTTTATCTAAGTGTGCAGGTGTGTTAGAAAACAAACAAGCAGCTGCTTCTGTGTCAATTAGTGGTAAATTATTACATGTCAAGCTGAATGTTGTCAGGACCATTAGGAAGCGAGGTAACAGTGCAGAACCACAAATGCAGCATCAGGGTCTGAAACAACCGTATTGTGGAAATTACCAGGGGATCTGGCTACACTCAGAGGACAGACGACAATCAGACTGCTACTGGCATAGGCTAGGGCTGTACCGAATAGTGATTTTCACTATTCGGCCGAATACGAATAGCTGGACCAACTATTCGACCGAATACGAATACGAATAGTAAATCATCATCATCATGTGCTTTGCCGGCTGGCATGGGCGATTATGCCTCGCCACAATCTGCGATCTCCTGCAGCACGTATTAGTTCGTGTGCTGACACACCTCCATGAAAAACCTTCGTTCCATGTTGTCAGCATTAGGGCAGCTTTTTTTCTCACTGAAGATATTTCCAGCTGTACTAAACAGGAAAATACGACAAATACAGAGAGTCAAGATAAAAACCCGCAAGGCGAAACATCAAAAACAAAAATAACGCCGACGAAGAAAACAATGCCGTCCTTATAAGTCGCCCAGCCCCTCCCCCCCCCCCCCCCCCCCGCGAGCTCAAGGATTCAACGGAAACAAGATAGCGACATCAAAGACCACCGCGGCCACAGAGACGGACAACGCCGAGCAGCCAACACCTTAAGATCAAATAACGAAAACATCATTGCAGACGAAAAATCCAGACGCCGAGCGGCTAACGCCAGAAGATCAAACAACAAAGACAACGAAGAAACCGAACGTCGATCAAAACATTCAGCCGCTGCCGTTTCCACCAGACGACAAAAGAACAGTTACGACACCCATAAATGATGACGAACTCCCGTTACTTCAAACAATCAACGAAGAGGACTCCCCACTCAAAGAAATCAAGCCGACAACACTAGAACACTTGCTTTTCTGCCCCTCTTACATCTTTAAGTGTTGCATTTTGTTTAAACAGCAACACACCTAAAAACACTATACTCGCAACACATACAAGATGGAAATAAAGGGGCACTTGGTACGCTCGTAGGTGGTGCACAAAGATAACGCTTGACAGTATAAACCAAAGTGGGAAATCTTGATGGTTTTTTTCCACCAGTCCAGAAACGGTTGTAACCACTATTCGTATTTGGCCCGACCGCAACTATTCGGCCGAATACCGAATAGTTATTGGGTCCACTATTCGGTCCCGAAGCGAATACGAAACAAATATTCGGTGCAGCCCTAGCATAGGCATAAGAATTTCGCGATTGTTGCTGAAGATAAATACCGAACGCTTATTAGAATGGCTCGAGTGTCTCAGCTAGTCAGTTACAACTTCATGGAAGCCGGGTCACGCTATAATTTTTCTCCATTCCCACAAAAACCACACAAATGCACATTGCTGTCTCTTGTAAAACAAACTGTGTTAATGTGCGTGCGCGTGTGTCACACACACACACCCATGTGCTTTTAATGCCAATGCATCTTCAATGTCCTGTATCTATCTTTGCGGTGGTCGACCCCTGCCTCGCTTTCCATACAATGCACCCTCCATCACCGTCTTTTCCAAGCCACCATGACGCTTGATGTGGCCAAAATACTTTAACTTTTGGGACAGGATGCTGTTTATGAGCCAGTTCTCCTCGATGTTCAATTCCTTTAGAATGTCGATGTTTTCCCTTTTCCTGGTCCATGGTATTCTAAGAATTTTGCTATAACGTTTCAATTCAAAAGCTCCAGTCTTTTTCCCCAGTGACTGAGTGTGATCTCAAGATTGTTACTTTAACCAATTTACTAGTGCTTTGCCATAGGTTCTCCATGCTGTTAAATCTCTGCATTGCTAATGCAAGTCTTCTTGTGACTTCTTTCAAGCAGTTGCCACTTTTGTTCACTAAAAAGCCCAAGCATTTGCAATCTGTTACATTTTCTATTTCTTTATTTTCGATTGTGTAATTTGGTTGGTGTGCTGTATTTACTGAGGACATAATGTTTTATTTATTTTGTTAATTCAAAAAAAGATTCACTTCTTCACTATGCTTTTTTGACGGCTAGAATCAATTTTTCTAGACCTTGTACACTATTGGAAAGGAGAAATGGGCCGTTATCTGAGTTATGTGATAGGATTACCTCCAGTTTTTAGTGGATCAAAGCTCTCGCATGCCTCATCGCTGCGTTTCTCATAACATTTTTAGCATATATGTTAAGGAAGGAATGAGAAAGAATGCAGCCCTGTCTCACTCCTTTCTGCACTTCAAATTATTCTGTTTCACCAGCTACCCTGACCGCTGCTTGTTGTTTATAACAAAGAGATTACATTAAATGCACCAGATGTTTTGGAAATCCCATGCCTCTCATTATATACCATTGTTTATGGTGTTGCACACAAACAAATGCCTAGCTGTAGTCTATAAAACAAGTATGAAGATCTATCTTGTATTCTCTACACTTCTCTAGGATGATTCTCATATTGAAAATAATTGTCTCTTGTTCCTCTGCCATGTCTAAAACCCGCTGGTGTTTCTTTCAGCTCACACCACGCTCCCAATTTCTGCTTCTCTAGAGGTTTTGTAAAACTTATCGTTTTGAGTTTCAGTAATTTTTGAAATCAAAATATAATTTATATATTCTAGCGTCACAATCTGTCATAGTAACATTTTCCTCAATGTCAGTTTGTAATTTAAAGATGACATTTATATTATCAGAATACTACTATATTTATATTTTGCACTGAAATTATGTATTTTTTTCTATTATTTTAGATTTGCTGTGCCGTGTCAGGGGACAGTACGGAGTTATGTAAGAACAGGAAGTTCTGACGTTTGAAGAAATCAACCAATGAAAGCCGAGCTGGGTGACCAGTCAAAAGATGGAGGTTTATTTGAAGATTGTTTACGGCAAGAAAAAAATGGGATTTCGGTAAAAGAGTATAGCAGAGTGGCATTTAATGTACAATCAACGAGGAGCTTTCTTACAGAATGACAGATTCAGCTTTATTAGGACCTTACAGAGCAACTCGTTTGGTATGTTTTTCAAAAACACTATCATAACATTGGTTGTATTTTAAATACTATTTAACAGTTGAGTTGAATTCGATATCTTCAAATAATTTAAATATGAAATAAATCATTTTATAAATTGGCTCTACTCCGATTGATCCAGGCCCAGAGGTTCCCCCAGCTGATATCCAGCCTTTAGAAATGGATATCAACTGTGAGATACCATCCAAAGAGGAAATTAGGAAAGCTATAAATCTTCTTAAGGAAGGAAAGGCGTCAGGCCCAGATGGTATCCCAGCTGAAGCCATCAGGACCAACATAAACACATCAACAGAATTGCTACATAGATTATTCAGTAAAGTCTGGGAGACCGAAGAAATACCAGTAGACTGGAGAGAAGGATATCTTGTGAAACTGCCCAAAAAAGGTGATCTACAGGAGTGTGAAAACTATAGAGTATAGAGGAATTATGTTGCTGTCAGTTCCTGGAAAAATATTAAGTAGAATTATTTTGGAAAGATTAAAAGATACTATTGATAAAATTAAAATGCTAAGAGATGAGCAGGCAGGTTTTCGGTCAAACAGATCCTGTACTGATCAGATAGTAACATTACGTATTATAATAGAGCAAAGCATTGAACTGAACTCACCACTTTACATTGGATTCATAGACTATGAAAAAGCATTTGACTGCATTGATAGGGAATCTCTCTGGAAATTGATGGAGCGCTATGGAATCCCACAGAAAATTATCAACTTAGTAAAGGCAACATATAAAGACATGAAATGTCCAGTTCTTTATGAGGGAAAGCTAACAGATGCATTTGAAATAAAAACAGGTGTGCAACAGGGATGTCTTTTGTCGCCTCTCTTATTTTTACTGGCAATAGACTGGACTATGAAAACAGTAACTGCTAACACCAAGAATGGAATTCAGTGGACCCCTACAAAACAGCTTGATGATCTGGACTTCGCTGATGATATTGCTCTTCTGTCCCATTCACAGAATCAGATACAAGATAAATTAAATATACTTAATGCGAGATCACAGCAGCTTGGTCTGAAAATCCATAAAGAAAAGACAAAGATAATGAGAATAAATCAGGCAAATAGTAATGTGGTTTCTCTTAATGGCACCCCACTCCAAGACGTGGAGTCGTACACCTATTTAGGCAGTAATGTAGATAAAGATGATGGAACTGATAGAGATATTAAAATTAGAATACAAAAGGCAAGAGGGGCTTTCATAGCCCTAGGGAATTTGTGAAGGTCAAAAGAAATACTAAACTAAAAATTTTTAATTCTAATGTCAAATCAGTACTATTGTATGGGGCAGAATAATGGAGAACAACCAAGGCAATTACTAATAAATTACAGACATTCATTAACTGGTGCCTGCACAGAATAGAGGGAATAAAATGGTATGATAGAATAACTAATGTAGAACTTTGGGAGAGAACTAAACAGGCTCCAGTGGATCAGGAGGTGAGGAAAAGACGCTGGCGTTGGATAGGGCACACACTGAGAAAACAGGAGAACAGCATAACTAGAATGTCTTTGCATTGGAACCCACAGGGGCATAGGAATAAAGGAAGGCCAAAAAACACATGGAGAAGAGAGCTGGAGAATGAGGTTAGAAAGATTGGGAGGACATGGGGAGAGCTCCATGCAATGGCGAAGGATAGAACGACTTGGCGTGAGTTGGTTGAGGGCCTATGCTGCATTGGGGAATAGAAAGGCAGAAGAAGAAGACTCCGATTGATGGATGAGTGATCCTGTTTAAAAATAAATCAAATCACAGCCAGAGATTCCCAGGAACTAAAAAACAGTTATACTAATCCTCATTTTTGGAGGAACTATGTGCTTTCTTCTTGCCGCACACATTTGGCAGCAATGGCAAGACAAAGTTACCTTATGAGTTTGATTTTGATTTGATTCAAGAACCGACATCACAGCACCCGGGGCATTCCCATAAGCGCTCCGTCTCCATCTTCAGCAGCCAGCGAAGAGTTCTGATACTAATGGTGCCAGTAGCTTTCTGATTAAATGTCCGTCTTGCCTTTCCTCTGAGCCTTGAGCTTCTGCCAGAACCTCTCGTCACCCCCAACTGCATCAATCTCACCAAACTGTGGTGATCCATCTGCTCCTCCGCATTGTACACGCTCTCCCACAAGGCACTAACCACGTCTGCCCTATCATGTAGCAGTATTCCACCAAGTTGTGCAGAGCCAGCCAGTCTGTCCGCCTGTTCATTTCCCAACACACCGGCGTGACCCGGTGAAAAAATCCAGACAATACTCCTCACTCGTGTCCTCCGCAGCGAAGCATGCCACTCTGCACGAAGCATACCTGTTCTGATCTTCCTCAGCATACTTTCTGAATCAGTTACAATTACAGTGTGTGTGTGTGTCGTGTTCTCTAGCCAGCGGAAAGCTGCAGTGACCGCCTCCACCTCCATTCTTAAGCTGGATGTTGTATCATATGCTAGGCTCTGCTGCACCAAACGTCGACCATTAACTTTTGCCAAAAAGCCCCAAGCACTTCTTTTGCCTCTTGACACTGAACCGTCTGTGTAAATGACCACATCCTCCGAGCGAGCATTATCTTGAATTAATTGCTGAATTTCCACCTCTGTGGCACCTGCTGGCCGTTATTCGGGGGATAGCCCCAAACAGAACTAAAATATACTTGCTTGAGAATTATTACTATAATTTTATTAAGTTACTGAAGAGTTCATTTAAAAAGGCAAGCTGATTACCATTACTCATCAGTCAGTGAGTCATCAGGACAGGATAGTCTACAACTAGATTAATGAAAAAATGATGTCCTGAAGTAAACTATTGGTGTATGACAGGACTATTTAACTTATTTTTCTTCTTATTCTGTTTTTCTTTCTCCCAAGAGAGCATAAGCCCTCAACCAACTCACGCATATTTGTTCTATCCCTCACCATTGCAGGGAGCTCTCCTCATGTCCTCCCGATCTTTCTAACTTCATTCTCCAGTTCTCTTCTCCATGTTTTTTTGTGTGCCTTCCTTTATTTCTATGCCCCTGTGGATTCCAATACAAAGACATTCTAGTTATGCTGTTCTGTTTTCTCTATGTGCCCTATCCAACGCCAGCGTCTTTTCCTCACCTCTTGGTCCACTGGAGCCTGTTTAGTTTTCTCCCAAAGCTCTACATTAGTTATTCTATCATACCATTTAATTCCCTCTATTCTGCACAGGCACCAGTTAATGAATGTATGTAATTTATTAGTAATTGCCTTAGTTGTTCTCCATGTTTCCGCCCCATACAAAAGTACCGATTTGACATTAGAATTAACAATTTTTAGTTTAGTATTACTTTTAATTTCTTTTGACCTCCACAAATTCCCTAGTGCTTTGGATGCTCCTCTTGCCTATTGTATTCTCATTTTAATATCTCTATCAGTTCCTCCATCTTTATCTTACTGCCCAAATAGGTGTATGACTCCACAACTTGGAGTGGGGTCTGTAGCCAGTAAAAATAAGAGAAGCGACAAAAGACATCCCTGTTGCACACCTGTTTTAATTTCAAATGTATCTGTTAGCTTTCCCTCATAAAGAACTCGACATTTCATGTCTTTAAATGTTGCCTTTACTAAGTTAATAATTTTCTGTGGGATTCCATAGTGACCCATCAATTTCCAGAGAGATTCCTTATCAATGCTGTCAAATGCTTTTTCATTGTCTATAAATCCAATGTAAAGTGATGAGTTCAGTTCACTGCTTTGCTCTATTATAATACGTAATGTGGCTATCTGGTCAGTACAGGATCTTTTTGACCAAAAGCCTGCCTGTTCATCTCTTAGCTTTTTATCAGTAGCATCTTTTTCAAAAATAATTCTACTTAATATTTTTTCAGGGACTGACAGCAACATAATTCCTCTATAGTTTTCACACTCCTGTAGATCACCTTTTTTTGGGCAGTTTCACAAGATATCCTTCTCTCCAGTCTGCTGGTATTTCTTTGATGTCTCAGACTTTACTAAATAATCTATGTAGCAGTTCTGTTAATGTGTTTATGTTGGCCCTGATGGCTTCAGCTGATATACCATCTGGGCCTGCCGCCTTTCCTTCCTTGAGAAGATTGATAGCTTTTCTAATTTCCTCTTTGGATGGTATCTCACAGTTGATACCCGTTTCCATTTCTTATGGCTGGATATCTGGGGGAACCTCTGGACCTGGTCTATTTAGAAGCATTTCAAAATATTCAACCAAAAGTGTCCATTTGATCTTTAGTGTTAGTAAGTACCTTTCCTTGACTATTTTTGATTGATCCAGTTGGCTGACTATATTTACCTACTAATTTCTTGTGTTACTGTAAAGTTCTCTGAGGTTTCCTTTTGCTGCTGCTGTCTCCGTTTCTTGTGCTAGATCATTTAGATATTTCACTTTATCTGCTCTTATACGCCTTCTAACTTCCTTATTGGCTTTTGTGTATTTATCCTGAGCTCTAGCTTTAGCAGCTCTAGTTTTGCTATTGTTTAAATCTGCCTTTTTACTTTTCCTATCTTCAGTCAGTTAAATGGTTTCTGGTGTTATCCACGCATTATGTTTCCGTTCTTTCTTGCCAAGAACTTCTACGCAAGATTCATTTCAGATTCCTTTGATCTGATCCCAGCAGACTTCTGTGCTGACATCTTCAGCTAACTGCTGTAACACCTGGTACTTATTAGAGACTAACTGAAAATCAACTTAGTTTACTCACAGTCTAAAATGCTGAAAATGGGAATCGTCGTGGGCCATTGGTCTGAGTCCAGGTATGGAAAGATTATTAATAACACACTAAAAGATATAAAACCAAACGAAAAGTATATTAGCAAGCTTCACAATATAACAAATACAAACAAAACTTGAACATTGCAGCTATTGAGCCTTCATCAGCACATACAAATCAAACAATACTACACAGAAACACAAAATCACTTAGCTGGTATCTCGAAGCAGCCGGGTCGGTTGTTTCTCAGCAGTTACAGACTTCTAGTTCAGTATGCTGGATGGGCTGGCGGCCCATTAAAATCTTGAAGTGTTGATGCTTGTATCAATGGTTTGCTAATGCGGTTTCAATATATTTATTAACACACTACAACTGAGAAACATTTTCAATGCGTAACTCTCATAAATTCTAAAACTTATGCCTAGGGCCTAGCCTACGGTAATATAAATCAGTGTTTCAAACCATTATAATGTTAAAGTGTACTACAGTCCTTGTAGTGATTAATTAATACTCACTTTTAATTGAAATACAACTTGCTGTTGGAATTATGAATAAAAGTTAGCAATTTCAGTTTAATTGTGTTATCATATTAATAAAGCAGATCTGTAAAATGGGTGTGTGTTGTGTGCTGATTCATGTGAGTTGTAACTTTGTAGGGAGACAGTGTGGTATGAATAGTGTTTTCGGAAGTCCATGGGAATGTCTAGTGACCAGTGTCAATAATTGGCACAGTGTTGACTTAAGCCAGGATATGTATGTCGGTTGAGTCAATATTGTTGGCTTGGCATGGGATGAATCAGTGGATTCGAGAAGTATTGGCCAGTGTGGGCTGACTATCATGACTTGGGCCGGATAGCTGTTGGCACACAGAAGAAGTATGGGGTGCGTGACAGCGTGCGTCCCATGTGCACGGGCCAGCTGACTAGGGGCAGGCAAGGGTATATACTGGGGTTGAGTAGACTGTTGAGCAGTGGCAGTTGAGAACTCAAACAGCTGAGAATGTTCGAGGGAAAGCACTCGCGAGTGCAGCCCAAGGAAGGGGAGTCCAGTTGACAGAGTCAGGTCAAGTGAGCTGGACTACTCAAGAGACACTGTTTTGGGTGACGACGCATGCAAGCGGGATGATCACCAGTGAAACAACACAGCAGAGATGCCAGCGATAGCTGTGTCCTGAAGAGGGCTCAGAGCCAGGAGTCCTACCGGTCATCGGAGTCCTTTGACGAGACTGATGTGCTGTGTGCACATGCTGGAGAACGAGTATTGGGGCGTTTCCAGTCAGCCGATTGGTCTGCTCCATATAGAGCAGCAGAAGTCCCGTTGATAGGAGAGATATCCTGTTCATCTGTACAGCGAGCCTGGAGTTGCGGGACGCCGTAGACCTAGAAATGTAGTGGCGGCGAGTATAAGTTGTCTGAGAGAGCATCGCTATACTTGAGGAGTAAGTGAAGGGAGGGCTATTCATTGCATGTTAGCCAGGACAGATGTCTGCATTGCTTAACTTGCATTGTTGTGTGTGTGAGGGCTTGTGAATACCCTCTGAGATTGTGACAAGACGTGTGCTTATATGGCGGACATTACGTCATTGAGTTTTCCTGCTAGTTGTGTGTGGGAGCGTGAACTGTACCCTTAGACACTAGGCCATGTGCTGGTTGCTGTGAACCGAAGTTTATAGCACACAACAATGTTCTGGAACACGTCTGAAGTCCAGAGGTTATTGAACAACCAGAACCGCTGGAGTTTACAACTGGTGAACATGAAGAAGAAGAAGAGGTTATGGGGGTCACTCATATTTTTGATGAACCTTTTAAAACAAATTTGTCAATCTGTTTCGATGTTAATAAACTCTTGTAAAGTGGGTAGCAAAAGTTGATCTGAGACTGAACAGTTTAGTGATTAATCAGTATGTCATGTCGCCTCAATAGATGTGATTCTGAAATACTATGCTCTTAATTATGGGAGGCTTCTTAACCTAAGCTGGTCTTGCTAGTCATGCTTACTATCACCATGGGCTGTGATTTTTAATGCCTTTCTTCAGCACAGTATAACACTATCCAATGGACAGATGGATGGGTGCTAGCAACCAACTTTACCTAATGCAATTACTACTTCAGCTCATGGGGAGCCCTACCACTTCACCCATTCATAGGGGTCTGTTAGAAATTAAAAAAAAAAAGTAATTTGTATTCCATTTCATAGTTATGCACCTAATAAGGAAAAGTTTGATAAATTAGCATTAGAATGTGGAAGTTGTCCCCTGTCTGATGTATACTGAGGTTTAAAGGTTGCAGTTACAGACTTCTAGTCCAATATGCTGGATGGACTAGCAGCCCATATAAATCTTGAAGTGTTTATTCTTGTATCAATGGTTTGCTAATCCGGTTTCAATATATAAATTGGAGTTCGTGGTTTCATTGCCTAAGCTATTGAGTTAAGAGCTTGGTGCAAAACTGGGAGCTGTGTATTCCACATGGGAGCCTTTCATCTGTGCCTGCACTGGTCTGTGTTGTGATGTTCAGAAAATTGCTGATTTGCAGTCTGGCTAAGTGCCTCATGCATTAATATCAGGTGTGTACTGCCATAATTTTGTGACTGACTAGTTTAGTCAGAGAACATTTTAAATTCTTGCAGTGACTATTGCTTTTGGCACCTCTAGCACTGGCTTTTGAATTTGCTGTGTGTGTATTTATGATTTTGCAGGAACTAATTAGGTCTGTGGCTTAGGCATTGCAAACGGGCTTCATTTTGCCGTGTTTAATCCCATCTGTGGACAATTTGTCTTGCGCATGTTTTGACAGTGGTACCGAGAGCTGACCGTTAAGAAAGCAAATGCAAACTACTGAAGATAAAATTTGCCTAGAAAAACCACAACAGCCAAAAAATGCTGGGGTTGGTTCTGCAGTGTCCTGTAAAGGATACGCAACTAACTTATTGATTGCTTGTTCACTTGTTTTCAAATGGGACAGTGAAGAGCATTTGTGTGTGATTTTTTTTCACTGGCACAGGAAGAGAAAAACTGAGGGGTGACTCGCAGAGAAATTGAAACCTTGACTAAGTGGGAATTAGAACATACAGCAAACTGGAAATATTTACCAGCTTTATATAAGCAAATAAGTAGAATTCTTAAGACACAATAAGAAGTAGGTGACTAGGCTACAACAAGCTAAGGACAGCAGATAATGTTGATTGTAACAAGATTGGCAGAATTACGGCTAAATATTTGACACAAATGTCAATTAAAAACTCAGTGTAGCAAGTATATTGCAGAATGTGGATGTTTGAGACCTTGCAGGACAAATGGGAAACAGTTGAAAATCTCAGGTGCGTCATCTGTTGGTGATGCATTTGGAATAGAAGACTGGCAGGTGGTGATCACTGAAGATCTTTGAGAGAGCCTGTATGTTAGTTGGTAAACTATATTCTTTTAGTATGTTTATAAACTAGTATATGTTTATCCTTATGTATGCTTTGTAATACCACAGTTAAAACTCACCAGTGAAATGTTAAACCTGGATGAGCATTTAAGTCGCGTTTTTCAGATTAAAGTAAAAATATTCGGTCAGATAATATCCTTTAGTTTCCAAAGATAGTTTAAAACTAATCCCTTTTGTTATTTCAGTGGAATGATGTTGTGTTAGCGTTTCGTCAATATTTGCCATGTGGCCGCCACAGACGGTATATGAAAACGTTTGACAATTGCTTCTCTGGGGCATCTGCTACTGAATGGCTTCTGCAGTACCTGAAGACCAATGGGAACTTTGGTTTAGATATTTCCAGGTAAATTTTATGTTGTTCTCTGCCTTGTGCACATTTCTTGAAAAAAAAAGTTCCTCTTTAGTTCATTATGGCTTTGGGTGTGATTAAGCCAATAACGTTGAATTAAGAATCGACATCAGAGCACTCAGGACACCCCCATAAGTGCTCGTCCCCATCTTCGGCATCAAGCAAAGAGTTAAAATTCTGATGGTACCAGTAACTGTTTGATTGTATGTCCGTCTCACCTTCCCCTGAGTGTCGAGTATCGGCCAAATCCCCTTGCAACTCCTCGCAGCGCCATTCTCCTCAGACTGTAATGATCTATTTATGCCTCCTCACTGTTCAATCGCTCCTAAAGAGCCCTCACAAAATCCAGCTTGTCATACATCAGTTCACCACCAAGTAGTGCAGAACCGGCCAGACTGTCTGCCTGCTAATTTCCCAACACACCGACATAACCTGGAGAAAATATCCAAAGGATGCTAACTACCATTATTCTCCTCTTGACTGGCTTTATAAGGGACAGTCCTGCAGGATATTTGTTATTCAGATTGTGTACTTGATAACTATTTTACAATGGGAAAAAGAGTGTTAGAGGGTGGGGGGTGGGCTTTTTTGCTTCAGCCCCATCGTAGTTGTTACTTTAAAGTAATAAATGAGACTGAAGGAGTTGAAATAACAGGAATATTCAACATTAAGTTTTCTTTCACAGTTGGGATAGAGTGAGTGATATACTGGATAGGTCACAATTGTAAAAGAAAGCAACACAGTGTATATAATTACCAGTAAATGTATGGTGAACTGCTAAGATCATAAGTTAAGAAAAGTATGATAGTATATGGAGTCACCAGTAAATCTCTGGTAAGCTGACACTTGATTCATGGTCGGCCATTAAAGTAGAAACTAAGGCGTTGCGGGTCCGACTCGTAAGCCAGCATACCGCTATCAAAACCCACTGCAGGCTGCGTGGATTTTTGTCGTAGTATGGGACGTCGCAGGTCGACCCAGCCTAAAATGGGTACCAGGATGGGCTGTCCTGGGAAAGTAAAGACAGCCGGCGTAATGCTGACCACATTACCCATAGAGTGCTGATGGTCTGTAAAAATATGGGACGCTCTGCCCATATGCCCGATGCGCCGAAAGGCGTGAAAAGGGAACTTTACTTTTTTTAAATATTCATTATAATTATCTATGAATCTAAAGTTTTCATCGTTTTATATATATATATATATATATATATATATATATATATATATATATATATAATACGTTTGCTTTACAGTTTATTTCTAATTTAAAGTCCATATGTTTATCAGCATATAATTATCTAATTAAATATACTGATCTATATTTGTTTAACACAGGGAGAAAGCAACCTCCTTGTTGAATAAGTTGTACAGAGCTGGCATTTTTGAGGAAGTGAGAGTCTCCAAGACTATGCATCACAAGCAAGAAGTTCGTGAAAATAGACTGTACAAGTAAGTCGTACTCTGGTACACACGCAGGCAACATAGCAAACAAACATATCTAACTACACAGGGTTGAAAGGGAGAGAATTAATGACAGAAAATTTTTACATTAATCAAAATGGCTGAATGATAGAGAATAAAATTCAATTTGGGTTTTATTGGTGGGGGGGGGGGGGGGGGGGGGGGGGGGCAGAATATAAAGGTAATGATACATAGATACAGTATCATCATCCTGTTGTGCTTTTGTATGTATGTCACATAGTGCTGACAGTCTAGTGCTCCATTCCATTCTGTCCTGTCCAATCCTTTCAATATCATAGATGGAATCCAGTCCAGCACCTCTGGCCTCTCTCAGTGGCTTATCTTAATGTTTTTCTGAGATGTCTCTTGGAGGTATCATCATGTGCCCTGCCAACTGGCGTAAGTGCTCATACGTCTCCCCAGATCACGATCCCTGGTTGCCTGGAACAGCTCTCTTGATGATATCACTCCATGCCATCGTTTCAGCCCATCCAGCATCATGGAGGCATAAGGGCAGTTTAATTAGGCCCTAAGTTTATGCATTGCTATTCATTAAATATATTACTCTTATTACACTACTTACCATTGTGTCTGTAGAAAGGTTTTCAAGGCATGGATGATGTGTTTTAGCTAGCTGCTTGCTATGAGGGCTGATGGTTCTATAATTTCTTACTGTGATATTGTTCTTTAAGTGGATTTTGTAGGATTTTACTGCCGTTCCAAATATTTTAAAATTAGCCTTCATATACTATTTTTTGTCCCCAAGGTAGGGCAGTAGCACAACCAGCTCCAGATATAAGGCCGTACGGCTCAAACGGAAATTCCCATTTCTTTTGTGAGGCTGGCGTGGCCGGTGGTAACTTATCCAGTAGATTTATACACAAATTCAACTACTATTTAAATATTTTGCAACAAGTTATTGAATAAATTATCACTTTGAAGATAAATATTTTCTAATAGCCCATTTATTTATCTTTGAAACCAACCGGCCACGCCACCCTCACAAAAATGAGAATTCCTGTTTGAGCTGTGCTGCCTTATATCTGGAGCTGGCTGTGGACAGTAGCAACATAGTGAGGCTTCCATTGATGTCATGTAAAAACCTGGTGCTTTGCCTCAGGCTTTCCTTAGAAATCATGTGCTGCATATGACTTGTAGTGCCACTCTTCTTTTTATTATACTGCCTTTATTCATCACATGATTGCCTTCAGGAATCCTTTAGATACAGAGTATTTCTATTCTGGATGACTGTTTTAAGCTAACATTGTCATTCTGGATTCCGCCCAGTGATTGCACCTAAGCAGGCTTCATGATACATGATGATGATACATGTGTTGTCACACAGTGCAACTTTTGTTTACCTGCATGTTAAAGACTTTGTTTTGAAAGTTCAGCGGTGGGCGGATCAGCTATCTAGCTTCCTTGAATTTCTCCAGTTACCACAGCAAACAATGGGTTTGCAATGTAAAGGTTTTTTTGTTTGCTTTTTAAAAATATTCTGTGTAAGTTGGTTTTCATTTCTGTAATGTTGTTCTTAATGCTGTTTAATTTCTTTGCATGTGGTAGTTGAAACAAATGAATTCTGGTCAGGTTGCCAAACCGTTTTAACTATTCACTTTTTAATTGTATGGTTTGTTTTAAGTGTTAGCCTTTGAAATAATATATTCATTTTTTAATTGTACCTTTTCTTCTTACTCCATACATTGAGCTTGGTCAAGAGCCATAAATTTCATTATCTGTGTGATGACAGAACAAGTAAAAAATCTATCAACAGTTAAAAATGAAGAAAATTTTTTTTTTTTTAAATGGGCTGAATAAGCTTTATATTCTCACTTTCCTCTGTGGCTTTTGGGGCCTCATTGGGGGGGGGGGGGGGGCAAGGACAGACCCACTGCCTTCCTGACAAGCATGTTACAGGAGTTTAGGGATTTCCTTTCAAGCCTGAGTGCATCTGCCTGATGGGGCAGGGAGCCAACAGCCTGCATTCAAATAAGCCAAATCTGTGAAATGTATGTGCACGCAAAGCTCAAGTTCTGCAATAAGACTCAAGTCCAGAAGTGGATGAACAGTCAGAACTTTCTGCTGAAGATTGTCACTGATGTTACAGAGTTTGTGCACTGTGCTGATGTACCCCTTGTGTGGTCTAAAGGTGGAGCCAGGAGCACATATAACTTTGGGTTCTACATTAAAACCTGATAAACACAATCTCACTTAAGAAGACCACTTTATTGTGACCAAAATGTTGGTCCCAGCAAGGATGTAGTCCCTGCTTAGCGCACATTAAAAAAAAAAAAAAATTTTTTTGGGGGGGTTCTTTGAAATCAGGTAAATGAGGGTTTGCTGTATACCACCGAGGAATCACTTTCTCTGAGATTATCTACCAGTTCAGTGCTCCAGATTTGAAAACACTTGCCAGGTCTTCACCTGGTACCCATTCAAGGCTACGCCGACCTGGGAGCCAAGGTCATTTTTCACGAAAACTCCGGTAAAATCAGGACCTGAACCCATAACCTTCTGATCCTCAGGCGAGCGCTATAATCAAAAAAATTATTTGTATTTCATACATGTTATTTGTACATATGGATGTGAGTCGTGGACTATCTCTCAGTCCTTAAGAAAGAGAATAGGGGCTTTTGAGCTAAAATGCTATAGAAAGATTATCAGAATTTCTTGGACAAATGATTTGATTTGATTTAAGAACCGACATCACAGCACCCGGGGCATTCCCATAAGCGCTCTGTCTCCATCTTCAGCAGCCAGCGAAGAGTTCCGATACCAATGGTGCCAGTAGCTTTCTGATTAAATGTCCGTCTTGCCTTTCCTCTGAGCCTTGAGCTTCTGCCAGAACCTCTCGTCACCCCCAACTGCATCAATCTCACCAAACTGTGGTGATCCATCTGCTCCTCCGCATTGTACACGCTCTCCCACAAGGCACTAACCACGTCTGCCCTATCATGTAGCAGTATTCCACCAAGTTGTGCAGAGCCAGCCAGTCTGTCCGCCTGTTTATTTCTCAACACACCAGCGTGACCCGGTGAAAAAATCCAGACAATACTCCTCACTCGTGTCCTCCGCAGCGAAGCATTCCACTCTGCATGAAGCATACCTGTTCTGATCTTCCTCAGCATGCTTTCTGAATCAGTTACAATTACAATGTGTGTGTGTGTCGTGTTCTCTAGCCAGTGGAAAGCTGCAGTGACCGCCTCCACCTCCATTCTTAAGCTGGATGTTGTGGTATCATATACTAGGCTCTGCTGCACCAAACGTCGACCATTAACTTTTGCTAAAAAGCCCCAAGCACTTCTTTTGCCTCCTGACACTGAACCGTCTGTGTAAATGATCAAATCCTCTGAGCAAGCATTATCTTGAATTAATTGCTGAATTTCCACCTCTGTGGCACCTGCTGGCCAGTCTCTGCATTCCCGGCTCAGCGTGATTATGACTCTACACAAGTCTGACTGCTCAGGTGGCACTTTGACCCACTCCTCTCCTCGCCCAATGTTCTCAAGGATGCAAACCTGTCTTGGACAAAGAAGATGAGAAATACTGACATCTTAAAAGATCAAGGGAGATTGGCTAATAAACAGCATCCTTTCTCAAAAACTGAAATATTTTGGTCATATAAAGCGCCACGACGGATTGGAAAAAATTATAGCAGAAGGCATGGTACCAGGAAGGAGAGGCAGGGGCCGACCGAAACGAAGATGGGCACAGGATATAAATGACTCCTTGAGTGTGAAATTGCATGAGGCCGGAGAACTGGCGAGAGACAGTTTCTTTCAGGCAGACTGTGATGAGAGCAAGGTTCTGCTAAGGACCTGCTACATGATGATGATGATGACATGTTATTTGTAATATACTGTTTTTGTTTCCAGGTTTTCACCGATTTCTCCTTCTAAAATGAAAATAACACGTCTGCCGTTAGCACCAAGAAATGATCTTGGTATTAATCGTCCCTTACCAAAGTTTAAATCATCTCAGAGTAAAGAAGACACACACGTGCCATCAAAACAGAAAGCTGAAAGTGAACTAGATGTTCCTAACAGAAAGCAGTCTAAGCTCATCAGAAAAATTTCACTGAAAAGAGACAAGAAAGAAACTGTAGATAAAGATGACGAAGAGAATTATACTCAGTGTCATCTGGTTGCAAGAGTTCTTACAACAAAAGAGATCAAGGACACATGGAAGGCAGCTTTCATTCTTAGGTAATTCTTTTTTTTTTTTTTTTTCAAATTCTTATCTTTGTAACCTTGTTTATTGGCCAGAAATTGAGTCTTATGTTAAAGTTTTTTCTGTGTATATTATATGTTAAAAGATGTATGAATCAATTAATGTATTATATGTTAAAAGATGTATGATGAAACTATGTATTATAAATTATATATTAAATATTATTATATATTGTTCCAGAACTTGAGTTTTTGCATGCACATCCAGTTTACACAACTGGCTTATTTGTTTGTATATATTTTAGAAATAGCGAACATTTTCCCTAGATTTATTACAACCGCTACAGTTTACTGTAATTAGAAATATAGACATTCCAGTGCTTGTATTGAATACTTTGATGCTACTGTTAATGTTTATTACTTGATGTGTGAATGAAATAATGTAAGAATGGAGAGAGACCTCGAGAGGGCAGAATGTTAGACATGCCTGCGTGCCCAATTTCTAACCATTTGAAAATAAAGTTTGTTGGTTCTTCACCTCTCAGGCAAGATGCTCTCTGGCTTCGATGGAAACACCCCTAATTAGTTACCTTTTACAGCATGCTTGTCAGGGGGCGGCAAATCTAGAATGAGTTAGGGGTAGCCACAGAATGCACACTGGGAAAGCTGAGGTTAGCATACAGAATATTAGACGCACCTGCATGCTTAATTCCCAAACCTTTGGAAAGAAAGTTAGTTAGCTTGTTTCTGCATTAACTAGTAAGATAAAAAGCAATTAGTTTTAAATTTTATTGTAGGTGCAAGCAAGTTCTTGGAGTGGCCAACTTAGGTGATGTCATCAGCACCGATCTAGTCGATGGTTATAATGTCATGCATAACTGCATCTATCTAAATAAGAGCGGTGTGGTGACCAACATAGATACCAAGGAACAGCTTCCCCACTGGGTCTTGTCTGCCATGAAATGCTTGGCTCGTTGTAAGTATCACATTTTCTTTACCCACCTCTCACTTGTTGTCTGTTTTTTTTGGGGGGGGGGGGGGGGGGGGGGTCATGTAATAGTGCGAAAATTGTATAAATTGGTATCACCGCAGATGGGACAAGAACAAGATGTTGTATCTAGTTTGGTAAGTATGGAATGTGTGTTTGTTTTCATATTCACTAATAATAAGAGTGAGCTAAATTAATATCTCGAGAACCCCATTTTAATATCTTAATTTTAAAAAAAATTTAAACCCTCCATGGAACATTGAATTGGGATATTTTATTCGTTGTGCTGCTAGTTTAAAAAAAATTTTGTGCAGTAAAACTTTGATTGCGGCGTCCGCGGCTAAGGCGTTGCGAGTCCGACTCGTGAGCCAGCATACCGCGATCGAAACCCACTGCAGGCTACGTGGATTTTTGTTGTGGTATGGGACGTCGCAGGTCGACCCAGCCTAAAATGGGTACTAGGATGGGCTGTCCTGGGAAAGTAAAGACAGCCGGCGTAATGCTGACCACATTACCCACAGAGTGCTGATGGTCTGTAAAAATATGGAACGCTCTGCCCATATGCCTGATGCGCCGAAAGGCGTGAAAAGGGATCTTTACTTTACTTTACTTCTTAAAACTTTGATTAACCATCATTGTCTAAAAAAAAATTATGTGAGTATCATCAACAGACAGACATCTTTAAAACTGTCCATGGGTTACTTTGACACCCTACTGTATAAAGCTGGAAGCAACTACTGTATGGTGGACGGTGGTGAAACTAAATAATTGTCAGTGGTGGAGGAGTTGAACATGATCTGGCACACCACAAACCCGCCACGAAGTAGTCGCTGTTGTGTTACATACTGGTTTCAGTCATGACAGAGTAACCTATGTGTTTGATTGAATGAATTGTTTCATATTGCCCTGATTAACTTTTCGACATAACATTATGATAGTAGTGTTCTGTATTTATAAGCTGTGTTTTGATTTTGTTGCTTGTATGTAGGCCCTAAAAAATAAGGCCTAGTCTCTTTGTTTTTATTGTTCTGTAAAAGTGTTAAAATTCATGAAAAGAGGAAACTATCCCATGCCTGCAGTGAATTCATGTTACTGTTGTCCCTCTATTAAGCTATCCGTCAAAGTCCTGGTCCAGACGGTGACGGTTAATCAAAGTTTTACTGTAATGCTTTAGACTTAGATGAACCATGAAATCTGATTATTAAAGAAGTGTGTTAAATTTTGAAGAAAAAAGTAGTTCTAGTCAAATAAAATGATGAACTACTAAGGGGAAACATTGTGAAATAAGCAGATGTAACTGTAGTCAGGCGGAACAATATCTTGAGGCCTTGGAGATGTGGTTTTACAGAAGAATCCTTAGAATTCCATGGACAGCTAAGAAGAGTAACCTAGATGTTTTGAAAGAGGCAGGTACTCGAAAAAAAAGTTATCACAAACATCAGAAAGAGACAGCCGTAATTTTTTGGTCATATTATGAGAAGAAGCAAAATGGAACATGCTGTGACCACTGGAAAGATTTGTGGAAAGCGAGACAGAGGAAGTCAGCGTGAGAAAATTGTTTGCAGCCTTTTGTCTTGGTATAGAGGGATGTTAACACATGAACTGATACACGCAGTTTGGAACGCAGATTTTGGAAAAGCATGATCGCCCATGCTAGTCGGCAAGGTACTTGATGATGATGAGGAACTGTAATCAGTTAATTGTACAAATTACTGGTCTATATCAGGTATGGTCAACCTTTGTTTAGGGTCCACGAACCAAGTGAACATGATCAACCTGGTCATGGGGCACATAGAAAACATCTGTTATAAACGTCAGAAGCCCCAGGATTAATGGCAGCATGGTATTTTGTGGGATAATCTTGCAAAAAATATTGTTTCATAACAGATATATGTTGGACAAAAGCTGACAGTTTTTAGTTGTATTTTATCAGGGCCAGAGCCTCCAGAACCAGGGTTGCCTAACTATCCAGGATTTGAGAAAGATGTGTTTGGTGTCGTTAAGGACTATTTTCTAGGACAAGACCAGCCGCTGATACCCTACAGTCTTTATGACACCGTTACAAATGTGTTTGGTGAGCTGAATTATGTTTGTTTTATATTGTAACATAAAGCACTTCAGTACCATAGCTAGGAGGAGCTAGGTTCTGGGGGCCCCATTTTGGGAAAAACAAGAATAGACCCACTGCCTCCCCAACAAGCATGTTGTAAGAGTAGACTAACAGGGGGCTTCTTACAAAGTCAGAGTGCATCTGCCGAAGAGACAAGGAACTAGCAATCTGCATACAATTAAGTTAGATCTGTTAAATAGATGTGCACGCAACATTAAGGTTCTGAAACAAGACTAAAGTCCAGTGGTGGACAACAGCCCGAACTTTCCGCTGTTGTTTAAAGCCAGTGAATGTGAAGAAAAATAGTTGTTTTCTTTCTGAATAAAGCCTAACAGAAATTTAGAGACACCACAAAACATTTATGTTTTTCCAGGACATAGCGTTCCATTGACCTATAAAAAGGGATGTGAATCACAACTTCTGGCAGTGGTGAGTGGGACTAGCAAGACCATCTCAAGTTAAGGAGAATCTTCCACAATGAGATTTCATGATCGTTGTTGGGGGCTCGGTACAAAATGCCCTGGACCATGTTTTATGGAGGTGGCACATCAGGAAAGGAATGAGAATGAAGGAAGAAATTATAGCAGGAAGGATTAAATCTGAGAAGAAACAGACTAAACACAAATGTTGACAATTGTCCTGAAATCCCATGCTATAATGCATTTGACAGGTTTCTTCTCAGACACGTTTCTTCTCAATGCTCAGACTACGATGGCTCAGGTGGCTGGGTCACACTTGGAGAATTGAGGATGGCAGAGTCCCTAAGGGGATCCTCTGTGGTGAATTAAAGACGAGTAGAAGATGTCGAGGCTGATCTCTACTGCGAAATAAAGATGTGTGGGAGCATGACATGAATGATACAGGTATTGAGGGGACTCGGTACAAAATGCCATGGACCATGTTTTAAGGAGGGGCACATCAGGAAGGGAATGAGAATGAAGGAAGAAATGATAGCAGAAAGGATGAAATCTGAAAAGAAACAGACTAAACACAAATATTGGCTACCCTCTGAATAACGGCCCCAAATTATATAGGCTAAGAAAATACCCTAACAGGGCTTCAGTCGTATGTAAATTGCGGACCTCTTTCGGGTGACTATATCGCCACCGCCGAGAGTATCCCCCACGCGGCGCATAGCAAATAAAATGGAGGAAGCTGCAGGAAATGTGGTAGCTGCTGCTCATGAGTCCCAGCCATCGAGTTTAAACCCCCCCCCCCCTGTGTGGCGCGTTTGAAACTCGGCGGAAGCTTTTCTGCGGTATGCGGTATAGTTGCCAGAAAGAGGTCCACAATTTACACATGACTGAGGCCCTGTAAGGCTATTTTCTTAGCCTCGATAATTTGTGACCGTTATTCGGAGGACAGCCCAAATGTTGACAACAGCTGTCCTGAAATCCCATGCTATAATTGTGGAAGACTTGTGTTAATGCTGGCGGATTTTGCTAGTCACCCGCGCCAGGGGCTGTGAGTCCCATGGCTCCTCATAGCGTAGTATAACACTGTCGTATGGAAAGGTGCTAGTCAATCTCAGACAACACAATTGATCCAACCAAGGCAACACCTGGCCGGACACTCCCTCAATCATCATCAATCAGCAGGTTCTTTACAGAATGTCGCTGTCATCACAGTGCTGTCATCACAGCACATCTGAAAGTTTATCATTCTCTAGCCATTTGTCCAACACTGTGTGCTTTCATAGCCACTGCATCTTCAAAATCTTAAGTCCATCTTCACAGCCATCTGCATGCGCCTCATTTTCCTAAAACTGTACCCTCTGACCGTTCTTTGTTATTCATTGTCTTATGCAACTGCATCTATCCCAGAGCTCTATGGAGGCAAGGACACTCCTAAAGCAGTCTCTAAAGATGAGAATTGGAGAGACAATTCAAATGACCATCCAGAGCATAAAAGCATAGTTAGGCTTGATAAAAACGAGCAGACCAGAATTTTTACTCCGAATGAGACATTGTAAATTCAGAGCTTTTGTTGTTCTCTGTATTGGTCTCACTGACCACCACATGCAGATATGGAGTACAAAATCAGGTTCTAGAGCTAGTCTTACAAGATTTCCAGAATTTGCCAGTTAATATGGTTTAAATCAGATATTCTTAAAGACAAAATCTGGAATACAGATAAAAACCATAAGTGGCTATCCTATACTGTTTCTGTCCTATATTCATGCTGGAATAATGCATAGAAAAAATAGGGAACATTTTGCATTTACCAGCCATGACCTGAACAGCTCTGATAATCTTTCCACTCCTGTGTTTCCACAGAAATAACACCTAAAATTTAAATAAAACCCAGCATGATCTTTCAGGATGCTTGTAAAATAAGTCATGGCTGAGATTATCAACCAGACAGATTTTGTCTGTTGAAGCACATGACCACTGTATTGAATTATAGAGTTATAAGTTTAACAGATAAATAATAATTTTGACATTATCATGACTCTATAATGTTATTGAATTATAGAGTAATAATTTTAACAAATAAATAATAATTTTGACATTATCATGACTCTATAATGTTATTGAATTATAATTATTTTAATAAATAAATAATAATTTTGACATTATCAGGACTCTATAATGTTATTGAATTAAAGAGTAATAATTTTAACAAATAAATAATAATTTTGACATTATCATGACTCTATAATGTTATTTAATTATAGAGTAATAATTTTAACAAATAAATAATAATTTTGACATTATCATGACTATAATGTTATTGAATTATAGAGTAATAATTTTGACATTAATGCTTGAATAAATGCAGTTTTGTACTTGAATAAATGTCGGTTTTTGTACCCAGAAAAAAAAGCCTTGTCTTATGAAGAAACAGTTAGACCCAGTTTTATTTTCTTGGAAACATGGTACCTAGATTTAGAAAGTGGCCATCTGATATGTGAAAATTTTGTAATATTTAGTAAATCATCATAGCCATACAACATGTTGTTTATACCATTAATGGTTGTATTTACATCACTCTGATTGTTTCAGTCATGGCAGGGAACAGCCAGCTGCGCCACTCATCGCCTCGTAGTTACAACGAGTCGGGTATTCCCAGCACACTGTGGTCATCAGTGTCCCTAGAGAACATCATCCTGAACCTCACAAAGAAGTACTGCCTACTGGACAACACAGGGAATCAACATGGAAGCACTAGAGATCTGCAGGACTCCACCAGCTGGTTTGGGACCAGGGAGGATTTACGGTTTGCAGAATATGACAACCACAATTCTGGAAACTGCCATCAAAGTGCCATTCTCCACAGTAAAAGAATGGACATGCTTGGGCAAAACCACACTGAGGAAAATGCTGTTTCTGTAGAGCAGTCTTATGGCTTGACCGCACAAGAATCTTGTAAATCTGCTTCCATTTCTCAACATAATAGTGGGTCTATTCCTCTGTTTACAACCACACAGTCTGCCACAGAAGCCAGTCAGCTTTCTGATCATTGGCTGTCTGGAATTAACAGAAAGTATGGATCTGTGCCCAATCTAAAGGTTTCCCGCTACGAGACAGCTTTCGGCCCAGACAACAAAACTGTCACCCGAGTCTTTTATCAGAATGGAATGACTACAGACTATGGTCATGATGAAGAAGAGAGTTCATTTCTGAAAGACAAAAATAATACTGACAAAGCAAAGTCGGCAGTCTGTCTTTATGATGACAGACAGTTAGAGAAAGACAGTAGCTTCACTGAGAAACCTGTAGCAAGAAGCAAGTCATTTGTTAATGTTAATAAATGTATGAGAAGTGAGTCAGACGAACATGCTAGAGTACCACACAAAAATTGTTATGCTCGCAGTTTAAGTTTTAATGGAAACAATGGTTTCGGTCTAAAGCAAAACCAAAATAACCACAGCAGCCCAGGAAATTATAATAGAGTGGAATCTGAGGCTGAAAGAAGACCTTGCTCCAGTTCCCAGCAGTCAGAAAATCATGATTCCTCTTACCAGCAGGCTGTGAATCTTGTGGACATTGATCACATAGAAGTTGCATCATCTGTACAAAATACTTCAGCTTTTGTAATAATGTCAGCTTCTACAGCACAAGACAAACATCCAAGTGAAAGCCAGACTTCAGCATCTCATTCTGAGGTCAGCATCAGTCAGTGTCAGTCTCATTCTAGTCAAACAAGGACCTCAGTTGCTTCATCATCATCTTATCCCATTGTGAATGAAGGTATCCACCCATCACCTACAAAACAACCAGCAGTTGCCTATGACCTTGAACGTAACTGTGGTGCTTTTTCTGAGGACCATTTTCCTTCTTCTAAAGCAACAAAGAGTCCATTTTCATTACCCACACTTGACCGCTGTCAATCTCAAAAACTGTTATATGATCATGTGCCTTCTGTTATAGGCAGCATATATTGTCAAGATGATAGGTCATTTCATCAGAAACAAGAAACAGAATATAGTGTTGTTCTAGATGCTTCTAAGAAAAAGTCAGCTGTCAGTCGGACAAACCTGGTCTCAAAGAACAGTTCACAGTCATGCATAAACCTCGCTTCCCCGCACAATGTGTTATCTCATAATGAAGTTCAAACAGCTATAGAAGTAGCAAATAGAATGACATCTACGCCATATTTACCTCAGTGTGATGATACAACTGCTGCAAAAGAAGGCTTCATTTCAAGTCTGAGTTTGTCTCGCATTACGCCATTTTACAGCAGAAACTCACACAGTCATAGAAGAGACAACCAGCATTCATTTATTAGCTGTAAGTTATGGTTTTTGTTGTTGTTGTATCTGCACAAATCTTTAACACTTTCTCAAAAACTGGAAATTCTTAAAAACAAAAAAACAAAACAAAAAACACTTAACATGCATCACAGGATCACCAGAATATCTTGTAAAGCGGTTCTCTAACTTTTTTTTTTTAAACAGCGACACCCTTGCAGAAAGAAATGTGCTGCACACCTATCCTTAAAGCGGTTTGGATACATAGAAAAGATTTGGGGGGGGGGGGGGGATGTGCACACTGAATGTTCAGTTGTTTTTAATGTGATGAATGAAACTATTTGGAATAATTTTTCATTATTTCCTTTATGTTTATCCTCAAATCACTTGACCCAGTAAGTTTGTACCTTTATCTTCTTTTTTTTTTTTCAAGTGTATGTTGAGAATGCACTGCAGCCTTACCAATAGCATTATCTTCTGAATACACTGAATCCAGAACTTTCTTGGCTTCCTTCACAGTGTTTCTGTTTTAAACTGCTGTCTTCGCTGATCTCAAGCAGATTTGTGAACAATTCTTGATTTTTTCCCACAGCACTCAGTTTGAAAACCGCTGTAACAGAGGATTTTTTTAAATTTGCACATTATGTAGTACTTGCTTAATCTACCCTGCTTGCTTTTATGATGTTTCATCTCTAAGAAACAAAATAATTGTTTATTAAAATAACATTTTATACAATATAGCTAAAGGAACACTCATATTTGTCAGGGGAGACATTTGAGAACCATTTATAAAGAAATGCTGATGGAAAGTTCCATGCTAGATGAAGTAATAAGTGAAGGAATTTTAAATTTGGAATTCAAAGTGGATCTGAGAAAAAAAAAGGACTTATGGGGTGAGGAGTACAACAGGTACTGCTGGACAAGTCAGTTGTTCGCTGTGGGAGTCAGAGCATCAATATGCCCTGTATTCTATGTTGTCAATTCTTAAATCAGTAAAATAATAAATGGTCTCCTCGACTTATGAATTAGTTCTGCTCTGACCCAGAGGTTGTAAGTCAAACGGTTTGTTGAATTTATATTTTTCAGCACTATGCTAATTTAAACGGATTATAGAAATTGTACCTAAAACAAAAATTCAATCTATACATGTAAAATTATTGTGAAAAATACAGATGTACTCTGTTGTACACTTTTTATTCTGCCAGTCATTTGTGGAGAATGCGCCTCATTTTTAAACTTAGAGACCTAGCGATATTTAGCCCAATCTGGCAACACTTGCGCCAGGTAGTGGGAGGCCTGTTGTTCTAGACAGTCTACAAAACATGGTAGAGTCTCTCTCTCTCTCTGGCTCTTGTTGTACCGTTCCAGGACATCACACAAGCGATAAACACCCAGTGACACAAAGTGCCACTATGCGGATGAGGATCACCAGTGGAGGTCCCAGAAATCCCCTTCAGCCGTTAAGCCATATTTCAAGCCCGGCGATATTCAGGACCTCTGGCAAAAGCCAGGGTGGGGCTTCGAATAAGGAACAACTGCATCCTACATAGGGATGACTAACCTATGGTAGAGTAAAAGACTGACGTCTAGACCCTGCTGCACTCTAGGCTTCAGTTCTGGTAATTTTTTTTCACCTTACCAATATAATCTTTCTATATTTACTCTGAAGTGCAGATGTTTGTAAGCTGCCTAGGTCATATGTCAAGAAGAAAGTGTATAGCTCTTGTTTTCCTATGAAATAGGAGATGGTGCCAATAACAATAACCTTTACTTAGAAATTTGAAATGCTGGTTATCTTTCCTAGATCCTCAGACTAGACTGGCAGAAGATCGAGCAAAGAACTCTCTACAGATGATTACACTTCTGCTTCCACCAGCCAACAGACGCAAACTTCACTTTTTGTTCAAGATGATGATGAAAATGACCTTGAACCCCAATCTGTGTCTGGATCCATCACAGACAACTCGTAGTTTGGTATGCTAAAGATTTGTGATTCCCCTTGTTTGTTAAAAAAATAATCTGTTAGGTTAAGGGAAAAAAAAAGGTACAGCACGTCACAAAAATGCTTGGGTGAAAATATGTTACATGTAGCACCCCCCCCCCCCCTTTCCCTCCTGGATAAAGAGGGAGGGCAGGGTGACTGTCTTTTTTAGCTCAGTCAGCCAGGAAAATGTCTTATGTAGTACAGTCAGCATGGACTGTTTCGAACTGACACAGCAAGGAAACCATGACATCATAACCAATAATGATTGTTAATGTTACTGGTATGATTGGCATTGGAACTCTTCTAGTTGCTGAAGGTGAGGATGGAGGACCTATAGGAATGTCTTCAGTGCTGTAATGTCCATTATTGACTAAACTCAACTTTTGCTTTGTCATTATTTCATTAAATTAATTAATTGTGAATTTCTCACATTGTTTATATTATATAAATGGACATATATTGATTGGCACTCATAGGAAGAAGCAGAAAGATAGAAGGACATGCTAGACAATATAAAAGTTGAAAGCTCTAATCACCATTCCAGGTACTGAACCTGTCACCTCCAAACGATGACAGTGCCTTGCTACAGGAGCAAGAATGCTACGACACATGACCAACTAGACACCCCTAAAAAAGGTGTCTTCATTTTAGTGATCAGTACATCTCTTATCTATTTAAAATATTAAAGGTTTCTATGACTTCAAGGGTTCCCTGTCTGTTTAAAAAAAATTTGTTTTCACTTTGTTGCTTGTCAGGTTATTGGCACCTTCTACCCAGCTATAATTCGCTCCCCTGAAAGGTGCGAACTAGATGAAGTCGTACAGTTGCAGTTGGTATCGTTTATGTTAGACTGCTATGATGATATCTTCACGCCACCGTCAGGCATCAAAACTCAGGTCAGCGACAGGCTTAAGGCTTTGCAGCGACCACAGGTAATAGTTTCACTGTATTGTTCTCTAAAAGTAGTGTCATTTATCATTATCTTCAACCTGTGCATTTCCTGCAGCCCACAAGGGAAGCAGGGAAGAGAAATAGTAATCTACAGTGTATGTCACTGAGGGGGGTTGGTCTGACATTGGTTACTGCAGAAAACGTGAAGCCAATTGTGAACAAGTACAATATGTAAAAGCATGAATGGTTCTATCATGATTTGGGGGAGGGGGGATGCACCATTGGTAGAGGAAATACAGAGGTAGAAGATAATATCATTCTTTTGAATTATTAACAAACAGAATTGAACTATATGTGTGAAAAGAAGCTGCAGTGGCCTATTTAATTTTATCTTTGTTTTCAAGCATGGTAATCTGCACGTAGACAAGGACCAGACATCTATGATATTAATTCTATTTTGTCAATTTGGCAATCAAGATTTTTCTGGGGTTGAATATTGAATTAAGAATCATCATCATATAACTCGGGACACTCCCATAAGCGTTCCACCCTCATCTTCAGCAGCAAGCGAAGAGTTACAGTTCTGATAGCACCAGTACTATCTGATTGTATGTCTGCCTCGCCTTTCCATTGAGTGTTGAGGAAAGGTCAGATATCCTGGTAACTCCTCGCAGCGCCATTCTCCTCAGACTGTCTGTGCCTCTGTACTGTACACTCACTCCTAAAGGGCCCTCATAAAATCTAGCTTGTCATGCATCAGTTCACCTCCAAATGGTGTAGAACTGGCCAGTCTTACCTGCTCATTTCCCAGCACACCAGCATGACCAGAAGAAAATATCCAAAGGATGCCAACTACCCGGGACCTCTGATGTGATGCTTGCCACTCTGCAGGGAGCATGCCTGTCTCCACCTTGCTCACATGCCACAATCCTACAGAATACCTTTGGCAAGGTGTTAGATGAGATGATCGCTGTTAAACTACAACCGTTTTTTTTTTAATCGGAAGAGTTCCTGCAAAAAGGTTTGTGTAGTTACCAGCCATGGAAAGATACTTGGTTAAATGCAGCTACTTTTGCTTGTAGTTTTTTTTTGGGAAGCGAGGAAGACTGCTTATCTGATTCATATTGCTTTGGTCTAAAGTCACAAACTTTCACTTGTAAGACAGGATTTTATCTTTGCTAGTTTTTTGTTTATTTTTCTGTTTGTTTTGTTTACAAATAAAAGGAAAGGTAAACAGCGTCACAGAGAAATGGTTAATCAAATATATGACAATAAGATTCCATAAAATATAACTAGGGCAAAAAACAGTTCTAGCTAATGATAGTAAGGATTTAAAGAAAAAGATAGGCCTTGGGAAATGTTTTTGGTAAGAAGATTTAAAGTCATTTACTACATTTTTTAAAAGCATGCTAAAGCAGCTTTAATTTTATTACTACCTCTCAAGCAGGCATACACATGTAATTTTTGTCTATATTATAGAGTACATTTATAATTTTATATTTTAGATGTATAGCTGAAGTTGTATCTACATTATAGATGTACACCTGTAATTTGATCTATGTTACACAAAACTAAGCAAATTTTCTTGTGAAAACCATTTTACTGTTGGCTTTTGGTTGCTAGGGCTAAATCACAGGTGCAGTTGAAGGAAACAGGTCTGGCTAGAAACAGTTCATCCATGCAGTGTGCAGTCATTTTATTAAATACACAAGTATTTAAATGAAGCAATATTCCCACAGGTTGTATACTCACCAAAGCCAGAGCGTACGGTTAGATTTTGTCAACAAACAAGTGTAACAGACTTTGAGAATCAAAGAATATCCACATCTCACACTGCTCTAGAGACATTGCTAGAGGACATTATCTCCAATCAGGACATGAATATCAAGGAGAAAACCAAGAGGTTAAAGCAGGTATCTATTGCTTTTATGTTTATGTCTAGAGATCTGTATCTTGGTGTTAGTGTGACCGTACTATTTCTCCTTGTAGTAACTCTTGCCGACTTAGAATAGATACAACGCTTTACGATGAATAACGCAGAACGGCGCTCAGTTTCTGATACACTTTCTATCAGTTTATTCTCAGTTTCCGAAACACATTCTATCAGCCTATTCCTTTTGTTCTTCCACTTTTTTCAGGCACCAAGAGCCAACCTCTGGCTTTTGCTCGTTATCTCTCCAGCTCCAAATATCCCGTGCCGTCATCTGTTGCACGGGTTTTCAGTCCGGCTTGCTGTTAGCGTGGGCCGACAATGCAAAGCACATCAGCACAGTGATGATATATTAGTTTGAATGTAACTCATGAATAATGGAGAAAATCTGGATTTTTGAATCTAAAATGTTACGAATAAATTCCTTGAAAACCAAAGGTAGAGAAGTTGAGTTTAGAACTGATATCAGAACATTCTGAACTTTCCGAGAAGCACTTGGTCCTCATCTTCATCAACAGTCACAATTCTAATGGTACCAGTAGCTGTCTGATTGTATATCCACCTTGTCTTTGCCTTAAGTGTTGAGGGTTTACCAGATCCCATGGTCAGTCCCTCCTGCACAGTTCTCTTCAGTCTATGTGATCTGTTTTTACCTTTGCACTGTTCACTCACTCCCAAAGAACCCTGACATCTCGCTTGCCATGCAACAATTTACCACCAGGTGGTACAGAACATCCTGTCTGTTTCAACATACCTACATACCCTGGACAAAATATCAGAAGCAACTCGGGATCTCTGATGTGATGCTCGCATCTCTGCACGGAGCATACCTGTCTCCACCTTTTTCAGCTACAAATCCCAAAAATCCTGTTCAACTATATAACCATACAGCACAGTTATACTAGGGCACTAGAAATGTTTACGAAGTTACTTGTAGTCCAGTTTTGGTTGGTTGATGTCATGTTTGATTTATTAAGCTTTATAGCAATTGCACTGATGCTGTCCTCATTGACTGCCGTGTGTTATTTGTATTCCATTGATCTTGTCAGTTTCAGAGGATGTATCCAACAATTTACCACAAGCGTTTCCCAGATGCCGAGTCAGAAGCTAAAGTTCTAATGGTCAAAGTCAAACAGCCATTGATGACCAGGCCACTGAACAAGCTCAAGGGTCTGCGACTGTAACAGCATCTGACCATTTCTTGCTTACTTCTAAACACACTGTCGTTTCAATATTTTTTTTTTTTTTTTTACATTTTCAAAAAAAAAAGCGTAAAGAATGTTAATAATGTCTGTATGCTAACTTGAATTATGGGTGTTTTTCTTATTACTCATTTGTTGATGTTCAGGGCATATAGCCACGGAAGAGGCAATGGGTCACTTGAAGATAAACTGTTAACTCAGATAATGGGTTTTTTTTCTTGTTGCTCAGTTGTTGGTGTAGGAGGCAGATTCTATGGATATGACAATATGTCTCTTGGACTGCAAACAGCAAAGACAATACACACAATTTTAATAACAAAAATGATGGAAAATGACAATTTCCTTTGCAACACTAGCAGCTAAGGGTTTAGTTAATCAACTCAGAAGGGTCTTGATCAGTCATGTCAAGCTTGTTGAGCTCCTGAGGTGGAGATCAGCACACCTGTGGATCAGTCTGGAGTGCTGTAATGATAGTCCTCACTAATCATAACTAACAAGTATGCACAGAAGGTGACATTTACACTGTCAACCACCTTTTCCTACATGTTCCTTATCTAGCTATGCACAGAGGGTAATATTTACACTGTCAACCACCTTTTCCTACATGTTCCTTCTCTAACTATGCACAGAGGGTGACATTTACACTGTCAACCACCTTTTCATACATGTGCCTTCTCTAACTATGCACAGAGGGTAACATTTACACTGTCAACCACCTTTTCCTACATGAGCCTTCTCTAACTATGCACAGAGGGTAACATTTACACTGTCAACTACCTTTTCCTACATGTGCCTTGCCTAACTATGCACAGAGGGTAACATTTACACTGTCAGCTACCTTTTTCTACATATGCCTTCTCTAACTATGCACAGAGGGTAACATTTACACTGTCAACCACCTTTTCCTACATGTGCCTTATCTAACTATGCACAGAGGGTAACATTTACACTGTCAACCACCTTTTCATACATGTGCCTTATCTAACTATGCACAGAGGGTAACATTTACACTGTCAATTACCTTTTCCTACATGTGCCTTCTCTAACTATGCACAGAGGGTAACATTTACACTGTCAACCACCTTTTCCTACATGTGCCTTATCTAACTATGCACAGAGGGTAACATTTACACTGTCAACCACCTTTTCATACATGTGCCTTCTCTAACTATGCACAGAGGGTAACATTTACACTGTCAACCACCTTTTCCTACATGTGCCTTCTCTAACTATGCACAGAGGGTAACATTTACACTGTCAACCACCTTTTCCTACATGTGCCTTCTCTAACTATGCACAGAGGGTAACATTTACACTGTCAACCACCTTTTCATACATGTGCCTTATCTAACTATGCATAGAGGGTAACATTTACACTGTCAACCACCTTTTCCTACATGTGCCTTCTCTAACTATGCACAGAGGGTAACATTTACACTGTCAGCTACCTTTTCCTACATGTGCCTTATCTAACTATGCACAGAGGGTAACATTTACACTGTCAACCACCTTTTCATACATGTGCCTTTTCCAACTATGCACAGAGGGTAACATTTACACTGTCAACCACCTTTTCCTACATGTGCCTTCTCTAACTATGCACAGAGGGTAACATTTACACTGTCAACCACCTTTTCATACATGTGCCTTATCTAACTATGCACAGAGGGTAACATTTACACTGTCAACCACCTTTTCCTACATGTGCCTTCTCTAACTATGCACAGAGGGTAACATTTACACTGTCAACCACCTTTTCCTACATGTGCCTTCTCTAACTATGCACAAAGACTTTCCATACATCTTATATGTGATCAAGCAGGTTGCTCACAAATGTGGCTACCGTCATGGAAGAATGACTTGTTGGCTTCTGTGTCCAGAAGTCATGAAAGCCGAGTATGTAATCTAACCTCACGTGTACATATTTAACATTTGCTGCCCTGATTGTTATTTGCTTACTATTAATACAGTAATACTAATGCCTTATTATCAGCATGCTCTTTTTTATGGGAAAATGTCTCAGATTCATAGTCATAATTGTTATTTGTGAATGTTCAATATAAGGCAACTGTTGGGGCAGCTGAGGTTCAGAGGGTGATTATCTGCTGTTGTAATCTAAGTTTAAATTTGTATTCAATAACATATTTTTCACATTTAAACTAAAACATTTTCTTTGTTTTTCAAGCACAACGAGCAAGCCATACTAAGGCTGTATATTTTCAGCAATTGTTTTTTAAACTTCATCTTCAGCTTTCAGTTGTATCATTGCACTAAGCAGCAACCCTCAATTTATTCTGCTAAACGATTGTCATTCGAGGCTTGGCAATCGCTAGAAATGCTGCCAGAAGTTTTCAGCTGTATGTCTGTGGCCATTTGCAGTAGTGAATTCAGCTACCACTTTGCTGTCAGTCTTTTAGAAATGTATTTAAAAAAAAAAAGAACTTGCCTCGTAATTAATCATAATTAATTATTAAAATTTTTTTTTAATATGTCAATTTTTCATTTATTGATCCACTTATAGTAAAAATAAATTATTTACTTATACTGAAATAGTTTTTTTGGGTGCTGAATTTTGAAATTTTTCTAAATTTAGTTCATTTGTTTGCACCTGTGGTTTGATTTTTTTTTTTTTTAAATTTTCAAACATCCAGAAACCATGAGTTGTAACTAGGGCTGTACCGAATAGTGATTTTCACTATTCGGCCGAATACGAATAGCTGGACCAACTATTCGGCCGAATGCGAATAGTGAATCATCATCATCATTTGCTTTGCCGGCTGGCATGGGCGATTATGCCTCGCCACAATCTGCGATCTCCTGCAGCACGTTTTAGTTTGTGTGCTGACACACCTCCATGAAAAACCTTCGTTCCATATTGTCAGCATTAGGCCAGCTTTTTGTCTCACTAAAGGTATTTCCAGCTGTATCAAACAGGAAAATACGACAAATACAGAGTCAAAATGAAAACCCGCAAGGCGAAACATCAAAAACAAAAATAACACTGATGAAGAAAACAATGCTGTCCTTACAAGTCGCCCAGCCCCCCGCGAGCTCACGAAACCAGACACCAGGCGGCCAACGCCAGATGATCAGACAACGAAGAAAAAGAACGTCGATCAAAACATTCAGCCGCTGCCGTTTCCACGAGACGACGAAAGAACAGTTACGACACCCATAAATGATGACGAACTCCAGTTACTTTAAACAATCAACGAAGAGGACTCTCCACTCAAAGAAATCAAGCCGACAACACTAGAACACTTGCTTTTCTGCCCCCTCTTACATTTTTAAGTGTTGCATTTTGTTTCTACAGCAACACACCTAAAAACACTATACTCGCAACACATACAAGATGGAAATAAAGGGGCACTTGGTACGCTCGTAGGTGGTGCACAAAGATAATGCTTCCCAGTATAAACCAAGGTGGGAAATCTTGATGTTTTTTTTCCACCAGTCCAGAAACGGTTGTAAGGTAACCACTTCGTATTCGGCCCGACCGCAACTATTCGGCCGAATACCGAATAGTTATTGGGTCCACTATTCGGCCCCGAAGCGAATATTCGGTACAGCCCTAGTTGTAACCCTTTGGCTCGGTGCTATGGATATCGCAACCCTTCGGTCTTGATTCTATGATAGGTACCGTAAATCTGAAAGATATGGGGCTTTTTTGCTTACCCCCGGATGTGAACCCCGACCACATTGTGTTCGTCACCCGGTCGCTTCACAGTCAGGTTTAACCAACTGAGCTAGTGCGCCAGGCGTTCAGTGGTTGTAAATGTGGTTTCACCATCTGAGAATACTGTGTTCTGAAATCAGCTGAAGCCTATTAGACAGCACATTGTTTAGCATAGACTTTGAAAACAGTATGAGAGTCATACTATTCAGAAAGCAATGCCAAACTACTCTGCAGAAATGTGTCTAGTCAAACCAGGAAACCAGTAACTGTTTTGTTTGCAGTGTATAGAACATGACATGCAACTAAGTTGTAAACTCATGTTTACTTTGTACGGGCATGCCAACAACTCTTCTGAAATACTGATTTTGTGTGTGTGTATATTAAATAGTTTTTTACTGTTTTCTTCTTCTTTGTATGTTCACCAGCTGTAGATTTTGGCAGACAGCTGTTTGTTCACTTTTAGACTTTGGTGGTCTTGTTCCATAACTTGATTTTTGCGTGCATTTCCATTTTACAGATCTGGATTATTCAAATGCAGACTGTTGGTTCCTCACCTCTCAGGCAGATGTACTTCAGCTTTGAAGGAAACACCCCTAAAAAGTCACCTGTTACAACATGCTTGTTAGGGGGTCAGCGGGGCTATTCTTCTTTCCCACAAGATGGGGCCCTGGAACCCACACTGGAGTTTGTGCAGTCAAGACATGGTGTTTTTGTCATTGGAGATGTAGGTCAGCCATTTCATCTCCTTGGCTACACCATACACTTCCTGTTGGGAAAAAATCCCCCATGATTCAAAATCTTTGTGCTTTTGACACCGGTGCTATGTAAAATAAAAAAATTGTTCTTTCTCTTCTTCTTCGCGTTCACCAGCTGTAAACTCTTGGCGGAAAGTTCTGGTTGTTCATCCACTTCTGGGCTGCAGTCCTGTTCCAGAACCTGAGTGTTGCATGTGCATCCATTTTACAGATCTGACTCATTTGAATGCAGACTGCTGGTTCCTTGCCTCTCAGGCAGATGCACTCCGACTTTGAAGGAAGCTCCCAATAAGTCGACTCTTACGACATGCTTTTGGGCAGGCAGTGGGTCTGTTCTTGTTTTCTCTATAATAGGGCTCTGGAACCCACACAGGGAAATGTTGATTCTAAAAGGATGTATTTGTGATGTGAGTGGCATACGTTGACAGTGATAGCTTTGTGTGATATGTTGTTGCAGTCAATTGTAGATTTAAAAACATTTCATTGATCGTTACCTAGCTAAGGAACTGGAAAGCAGAGCAGATTGCAAAGAATTTAGGTAAAGTATATAT